GCATAATATGACATGTATCTCATCTCATAACCAACCCAATTGATCTTAGGGCATATTACCAAAATGGACCATGCGATGGCAAATGGTAACTTTGGGGAAATGTTTTCGAGCTGTGCAGTTAGTCATCTTGCAAGTCTAGTCTCCAATCATGGTGGACATGATGAGGAAATAGAAAATGAGGCACAACCATCATATAAGGAAAAGGAAATATTTTGAGGCAATATGGGTAAAGGACCCAAAATGTAGGCACATTATTGCGAATAGTTGGCAAGAGGAAAGGGGCGTGCGGTTAAGGACGAGACTTGAAAGAATGCTTGGCAGGCTGTCAAAGTGGGATAGTGGAAAGTTTCATGGGTTAAGCACAGAAATCAAAAGATTAAACAAGAAACTTATGGCTTCAATTAACAGAGTACTAAGGACGAAGAGATGGCTAAAGAATTGGAGATCAAACAAAGGTTAAATGGCTTACTTGCACAAAAAGAATCTTTCTGGCTACAACGATGAAGGGTTAATTGGCTTAGGGAAGGGGACAAAATACAAATTTTTTTCAGGCACAAGCGACCCAATGGAGAAGAGTGAATAGAATTAGGGGGTTAGAGGATAAGAACAGAGAATGGCATGAGGGCGGCCAGAGGTGGTTAAGCAGGCAGTGTTGTATTTCAAGGAGCTTTTAAAGACTCAAGGATCCACCAACCCGGATGAAATCCTAAAGGCAATAACATCGCCAGTAACAAATGAGATAAACAACCATCTTCCGGCACAGTTCACTCCCAAGGAGATGTACGAGGCAACAAAGCAAATTCACCCAACAAAGGCTCTAGGACTTGACGATATGCCAATTTTGTTTTTCACAAATTTGGGCACACTATAGGTCAAAGGTTACTAAATTCTGTTTGTCAATGCTAAACAGGGCTAATAAGTTGGAAGAAGCAAATGACACACGCATAAGGCTTGTTCCTAAAATAACAAACCCAACAGGAAAGACCCAATTTTTACCCATCAGTCTTTACAATGTTCTCTAAAAGATTATTGCCAAAATTGTAGCTAATAGGTTAAAACATATGCTTACCTTTTGTATTAATGAAAACCAAAGTGCTTTTGTCCGTAGTAGGCTAATAACCGATAATGTCCTTGTAGCGTATTAATTGTTACGCACCCTAAAACTCAAGAAAAAAGGCAAGGCGGGATGGGGAGCCATTAAAGTAGATATGAGTAAGGCCTAAGATAGGATTGAGTAGGGGTTTATTGAATCTGTCACGAGGAAACTAGGTTTCTGTGAGAGCTGGGTTTTGCTTATAATGCAATGTGCGAGAACTATCATGCATAAAGTTGTTATTAATGGATATATGACTGATATAATAATCCCAGAAAGAGGCCTCAGACAAGGGGACCGCTTATCACCTTATTTGTTCTTAATATGCACAGAAGGGCTATCGATGCTCCTATTCAAATATCAAATGAAAGGCATGCTACAGGGACTCTGAGCTAGTGTGAATGGCCCAAGAATTACTACTTTTTTGCAGATGATAATTTGTTGTTCACCAAAGCAAACCAAACATAATGCGAAAGAGTGAGAAACCTACTAAAGATTTATGAAAGGGGTTCTGGGCAGAAAATCAATTATGAGAAATCAGGATTGTTCTTTAGTAAAAACACTAGCAGAGACATGCAAGAGGTGGTTAAAAATATGTTCGAAATCCAAGTCACAAATAGACTAGAGAAATACCTAGGATTGCCAATGATCATCGGCTAAGGTAAGAAGTAGGCCTTTAGAAGACTACTAGATAAGATGAGACAAAGAATTTGGAATTGAAGCCATAAATGGATATTTGATAAAGGCAAGGAGGTTTTCTTCAAAGAAGTTTTGCAGTCAATGTCTTCTCATGCAACCCAAAAGAGTTATGTCATGAAATAAACATGATAATAAACAGATACTGGTGGAGCTAAAACAAGGAAAAAGACGAAATACATTGGTGGCTTGGAAGAAACTGTGCAAAGGAAAGAAGGACGGCGGCATGGGATTTAGGGATATGGAATGTTTCAATAAGGCTTCATTGGCCAAGCAGGGATGCAGACTGATACAGAATACATCATCATTAGTGCACAGGGTGCTCAAAGCAAAATACTTGCCTAGAACCTCGTTTCTTGAAGCGCATTATCCATCATAAACATGGAGAAGCATTTGCGCGGGAAGGAAGCTTCTACAAATTGGGGTAAGGTGGCGAGTAAGAAGTGGGGCAAGAATCAGAGTGTTGAATGATCCATGGATACCAAAGGCGGGCTCTCCCATCCCTAAAGATAATGTCAATCCAGCTGAGAATAAGGTAAGTGTGCTAACAAGTGAGGCTAATAGGCAATGGGATAAGGACAAACTGGTGATAATTTTCCCAACGGAAACTGTTAAGGAAATATTGGCGATACCACTTAGTAGTTTTAAAACCCAGGATGTGCAAGTTTGGCATTTCAGCAAGGAGGGACAATATAGTGTTAAAAGTGGCTACCATCTTCTCGTATCAAGGGAACAAGAGTCACATGTAAACCAAGGAGATAACGGGGAAGAAGATAGTGGAAATGACCGGGAATTGTGGAGTAAAATATGGCGGGTAAATCGCCCAAACAAGATGAAGGTTTTCCGCTGGCGATTGTGAAATGAGATATTACCGGTGTACGCGAATCTGCAGAAAAGGAAGATATTGGCACAGGCGACATGCCCGAGATGTAACCTTGAAGAGGAGACTGTTTTGCATGCAATCACAGAGTGCCGGCACGCAGTAGAGATATGAAGAGAAGCAAGTCTGGATGAGAACTGAGTAGGACATCAAGGAGGGATGTGGCTTGAAGCGTGGACCGAAGGCATGGACAAAGAATCGATGGAGAAAGTCTTAACACTATGCGCAATATGGGCCAGTAGAAATGACGACATAAAGAACCAAGTGCAGAGAAGTTACCAGCAGACTGCAAGATTTGCTATCCTATATCGGGAAGAATATCAGCAGGCACAAGAAAGACATCACAAGCCGACGACAGTAAGGAACAAAATGGGAGACACCAGTAGGAGGGATGATCAAGGTAAATTTTGATGGTGCTCTAGACATTAGAAAGGAAGTCGGGGGCATAGGCGTACTGGCCATAACCTCCTCCGGAGAGGTTCTTGGGGCTCTGAGTATGCCAACCGAAGGAAACAAAGATCCCTGGACGATCGAAGCAACGGCAGCAGTTGAAGCAGTCAAGTTTACATCTGATACGCGTTTCCAAAAGATTGCACTCGAGGGAGATGCGCCAAGGATCATACAACAGATTATGCAGACGAATAAAGACCTGTCTCTAGTAAAAACGAGGCTGAATGGTTTTATTGAATGGAAATGCACATCGAGAAGGGAACATGACCTCCCATTCCCTAGCAAAAATGACGTCAGGAAATAGGGAAACGATGGTCTGGGTGGAGAAATGTCCAAATATTTTAAGTGTAACTGCTGAGCAAGACAGATCTTGCTCCTGAGCAACGAAGTTCATTATAATTTCAATTTTATATTTTCCTTTTTTATACCTAAATCTTTTACTTTATCTATTTTTTTTAAAAAAATATTTACATTAAAATTTGTGAAACATCAAATTTATAAATATAATTTAATTTTTAATATTAAATACACCAAAATCAAAAAAATAATAATAATAAACTTTGTGAAATTCAAGGACTAACAATTTGAGAAAAAAAAGTAATTAAAAGTATCTCAACTTTCTTTTAGATCTAACTATTTTTATTTATTCTAATTGTTTAATTGTAAGACCAACATTATATTTTTTAACAATAGATGAGAATATGAAATTTAAATAGAATATTTGAGAAGTTAAAAACTCTTACCCTAAAAATGAAAGATTAAATATAAAAATAATTAGTTGCTTATATTTTGCATTAAAATTAAATTTAAATGAAATTGCTTAAAAATCTAAATCCAACTAAAACAAACCCAAAGTAAATAAAAAATTCTGGAAAAAATGCATGAATCCACTTCAACTGTTACAACTTACAATCATTCATCCTCAAATTCCTTTAACCTGGATGATAACATGAGTAAAACTATGTAACCTTTTTCTACAAATGCCTGAAATTTATAATATCATGCCATTTTGAGTCAACAAGCAACATACAAATTTTCAAAAAGACTTAAAAATGCTACAATGCAAATCATCAGCTGAATCATAATACAATCAATTCCACGTTCAAAGAATTGGAAACAAAAACAATGTGTGCAATGCAAATTGAGTACCAAGCAAACTGATTATACCCTCAACAGTTGCTCATAAGTAGAAGTAGCACCCATGTCTCGCATTTCTTCTGTCTCCAACAAAAGGACAAATTATTGGTGTTATTCAAACATTGACTAATGATTTCACACTGAAAATCAAAAATTCCATTTGCAAATTTTGAAGTTAAAGATATGGACAAATTCCTAGGAAATAAAGGCAATTCACAGCAATGAAACAGAGCACAGCAATAGATGCAAGTGATGGTATAAATACCAGCACATATTCTCACAAGTCCTGAAATGAATAGAATGTATCAAAAGTTTTTATCACATTTCAAATGCCTATTTAGAACATTTTTTGCTAGATTTCTAATAGAAGTTCATGCATTATGTTAAAAACTTACTCTAAAGAACAAAAGAAATTAACCCCACTTGGCATTGGAGAACAATCGCTATTCTTGGTCACTTGCAACCTTACCAAACAGCTTAATCTAATAGGTGAAGGACCAAGAACAAATTTTAACATATAACAAGTCAACCAATCTTCCATGATAAGTCAGCTGCAAGATGAGGTTGCATGGAAATTCACATTTAATGAAACCACTCCTGCCAGTACATTGACCCTACTAACACTATTATGCAGAATGGAGCATAACTTAATTCAGAGCTACTAAGATTTTACACTTTAATGACCTAGGCATAAGCCACTTCCCATAACATGCAGCAAATTATTACCTGAATTTTACTGATGGCCAATCATGTGGATGATGCATGCTACAAGTTTGCTTCAACACTAGCAATTGGAAGGCTGTCTGAAAGTTTTTGAATCCTAATCCTTTTGGTTCTGTAGAAAAGGCAAAAAAAAAAATAAGTGATTCCAAAAAAAACAACAGAAATTACCATGTTTATTGAAAAACATAACAAACACTAAAGTTGCCCTTTTTACAAGGCTTAAAAACAGTACCTGTGCAATGGGATCAAAAAGCTGTTAGGCAATTGGATTAATGTCTTATTCACTGATGTTATAGTTTTAATTCAAAAAACAATGACCAAACTGATAGCTTCTCTTTTCTTTATGAGATAAGATCCAATTTTACCACTTTACTTAAGATTAGGGATCAATTTTACCACTTATCTTTAAACAAAATTTTACTTGCATGTTTTTTATGGAATATTTTTTTACAATTTATTTTTGATTATTTTTTAACCAAATTAAAAAAATATAATGGTAAAATTGCACCCATTCAAAGATGAATTATAAATTTGATCCATCATTCTAAATAAAATGGTAAATTTGGTCCTTATCCCTTTTGGCTTTCTTTATCAATGCTCATCCTGAACCCAGAACACTGATTCCCCTACCCTGCCTGAAAAAAAAAAGATCAGGTAAAGTGGCTTGATTAATCCACATACTTGTCATCAATCCATATATGTACATTGCATTGGTCCTGATCTTCTAAACCAACATATTCTAGTTTATAGAATCAACAAGATTTTATAAAATAAAAATGAAACATGACGTTCAACTAAAGTGACAGTTTACCACTTCTAACTTGTTTTATAAACTATAGCAAGTATGAAAGCTCCCTCAAGCAAAAAAAGAACATGGAACAAAATTAGTTATGAATAGTAAAGAAAAATAATTTGGGCTTGATTGGAAGCCAAATGAGGTTATTCAATAGAATTCACAAGAAAGTAATTCTAGCTTTCCAGTTATAAAATAATAATTAAAAAGGATTTATTAGAAAATAGTTTATCACTATAACCTTCCAAAAGTATCAACAGGGTAATATCCTCCTAGAGCCCTAAGGGCTATAAAATTTCTATATTTATCCTCCCAGATTTCCATAGAAATTTAGAGAATTTGCTAATTTTGAAAATAAACATCTAAATAAACTTGGCAAACTAAAACATGACACGAAAACAATACAAAAAAAAAAAAAAACAAAAGTGACAATTTAAAATTTTAACAAAAAACATATGTATTTAACAAAACCAAAAAAATATATTTTATATTTTCATATTGATATAAATTGTGATATATAATTTTTATATAAAATATTATACAAATACACGAATTATCAATATTTTACAGCACACAAATACACAAGTTGCTAATTTTACATCCAAGCATATATGATCAAATAGCTTCTTTGTTATCAAATTTCTCAATCCCTATCAAATTTTACATACCTTTACACAATGAAGACAGGAAAAACACAAAAGCTCAGGTAAAATTTACAAGGTTATAATAAATAAATTGGTTCTAAAAGACAACCATAAATGTAGTTACCTTATAGAAGAAATGTATTTCTCTACATCTGGTTTCTGTTCAACATCATAGTGAAACCATTTTTCATCAGGTGCAACTGGATCTAAGGTCCCAATATCTGTTCATTTAAACATAAGACTTTAACTTCGAAATTCATAAGGTTGATAAACACATTAAGCAATGCATTCTAACCCTAACCTTGAAGCAAAATATACTTTTCACTGGTATACCCTCTCAATCTCCAGAAAGTACGACCACTACCATCCAACAAAATAGGAGCTGTTCTAACAGCATCAGATCTTGGTCTCTCTGCAACAATTACAAAGGAATGTCACACTGTTTAGAATATGAGAATGTGTACCAAAACATGCATCTAGAAGTATTTTTCTGCAGGAAGCACAAAAGTTGAACGGTTGGAAATGGATAATCCATTCAAACAAATAAGGAAAATATGTCTTCATGATTTAGATACAAAAATACTCCATTTCTACACAAGCAAGGTCAAGTATCTTCAACTAGATCCTCAAAAACATAAAACTTTTATCTTTTAACTCTATTAATGCTAACCAGTTTAACTTCATATAAGCTAAAGATGAAAATAACATTTTCTATTTACAGGATTAATATCATGAATGATCTTTAAACCATAGTGAAATATTCAATGTGGCACTTAAACTTTAAAATCTCTAATGTAGCACCTAAGCTACAAATCTATCAACTAATATGACACTTGGAAGGTTGTTCGTCTATCATGTGTCATCATTTGAAACTAATCACATTAAGAGTAAATACTAGTTAATTAACAAATTCATAATTCAAATATCAAATTAAAGATTTTTAAAATTCAAATATCATATTAAACATTTCATTAAATTTAAAAGCCATTCATAACATTAACCCTTATATATAATAGAAATTTCTTGCACATATTAGAAGTTAGAATGAGATTATTTAACAATTTCTAAAACCTTTTAGATTTATTAGCTTTTCAGCAATAGCACTTAAAATACTAGTTACTATTCAAAATTAAAAAGCAACAAAAAAGGTCATGTATATGTTAAATGCAACATATCCTTAAATGAAAATTTTGGAACGTGTGATGGATTGGGGGGTGGGGGGGGGGAGTGAGCAATACAAATGAGAGTTTGTGCACATCTTCCAAATAATTGCTTGAACTATAGAAATTAGAAATTGAGAGCATACTCTTTGGAAGCATGCTCATTGCCTGGAGCACATCTGCATGAGCTTGAGCTGCTTCTCTTTTTATTTGCATAATAAGAGTTTCATGCTCAGAAACTGACAAAGGAGCACCACTTTTTTCAATAATAGCTTTGGCAACCTCATCCTGCATTTTCTGCCTTAATTGTTTTTCCTGTAGTAAGTACAAAGTCAGCTTTAAATGATGATACTTAAGATCACTAAATCAATGCAAAAAAAAAGATGCATGTCCTCCTACATGTATTACCTTATCCCTTGCAACAAGAATCTTTTCTTTTGCTTCCTTCTCTCTATCAACAAACTTCAAATTTTGTTTGTCAATCCAATTCCTCAAAGTTCTAAAAATTTTTGCTTTATCAGAAAAATGGAAGAAAAATATATTTACAGAAGAATGAAAACAGAAGAGCTCTAATCTGTAAAAAGACTGGGATTTGCCTTTCATCCTTGTTACTTACACAGTGCAAAGGGCTTCATCACATAAAAAGTTTAAGAGTTTAAGCTTTAAAGAACTGTCTAACATATTATATGCATCCACGCCATTATCATAAAAATCGAAAGGAACTTCTTCCAATGCACATTGAGATTCAGACACACATTGGCCAAGGGCTTGGAACCATGAACCATTGTCACTTGCCTTTAAGGATGGAAATCTGAACAGCCAATAAAGCAGAAAATCATAATTAAATTCTTACAAAAAGATGAATTAAGCAGTTAGGGATTGATTTATACTTTTTCCCCATATCTTTTTGTATTAGAGACAACAATTGTATATGAATTTGGACTACTGGAGAGTACTGTAATCGGCATCTCCCGCGTCCACGCATTATTTCTCTGATTACAGATTCTGCTTGCCCTTTCTTCATATCAAGAACCTAAAACATAATAAAAAAGAGAAGAACCAAAAATAATCACTAAACTAAAGAAAGCTCTGGAAGGTAAAACAAAAACAAACAACTGCACTTACTAATTGACATTATAATTAAACAGTAAGTACTTTCAATCAAAAAGTATCTTCCCATGTAAGAAACAACAAATTACAACACAAAAAACAGAGAAAACTATTTGCCAAGGGAAGGGCAGAATGATGGTTTATCAGACTTATCTTGTTAAGGGATGTATATAACAAATCAGAATTTCATGACTTTAACCCATATTGCAAAAAATTCATCGTAACAAGGTTTTTATCATCAAATAGTTCTATATTATTCAACTATTAATAACCATAAGATTTAAACTGCTGTATCTAAGCTTGCATGTTAAATTAAAACACACTAAACTATCTTACGTACCTCTCCAAAAGCTGCACAAAACTCTAAGAATTGCAATGCATGTCCAACATCTTTGGGAGGTAAATCAACACCTGCCACTGTTATTAAGGTGGTGCCTTGGGGCAATTGAATGTCCATGTCAAACTTTTTATCAAACAGCTGTGCTGTAAACTTTTTATCCGTACAAGGATTTATTGCTGACTTGAGCTCATCACTGGTGTTCTCATTTTCAAAATCATTTAAACCTCCAGGATCCTCACCTTTTACCCCATTTTTTTTCTTTTTAACAGGAGATATGGTGTTACTTTCTAGAACCTGCCTCTTAGAATTCTTTTCCCCCACAAATGCACCCTCAGATTTTTCTTTTGATTTCAGCTTTTTCCTAGACTCTTCATCAGAAGTTGTGGACTCCCTTTTCTTAGAAATCTCTAAAATTTTAACTCCACTGGAAACTCCTGCTTTCTTGTTTTTTGCACATTTAGTTTCTTCGTTACTGGCACTGGAAGAATCATCAGTTTGTACTTCTGACTTGGAGTTGTTTTTATCAGAAAGACAACCATAATCTTTTTCATTTCCCTTCACTTTTTTCTTAGGAGCTTCCTTCAAGGTTTTAGGCTTTTTTGGACTAGTTTTCTTCAAAGAAGCTTCATGATCTCCGTTGCCATTACACATTTCCTTCAATCCTTCCCGTTTCATTTTCTTATATTTCTTTTTATTAGACAATGATGTCATATTCTTAGAATTAACTTTGGAATCATAGTCTCCATCGAAAGAATTTTCCTTCCCAAGCTTCCTTGGTGACATGGCCATAGACTCCTGGAAACATCAGAGAGACAAACCCCATCACCCAAAAAATGCAAGAAACCAATAGTCCATTACCATTAGGAAGAAAAACAAAGTCAAACCTTCTCTTGCTTCTTTGGTGAAACACCCATATCTTTTACAATCTTTTCATATCCAAATTTTTCAGGTCCTTTAGCCTGAAGCAATTCTGAAACAGAAGAGTAACCAGTTGCTTTGGCTGCGTGCACTAGTATACCTGTAGGTTTGTGACCCTTTTTCTTCCTAAAAAATATAGTACCCAGTTAGACTTGATAAATATTAACGCTGAGAATCAACTATAGAAACATCTGCAGTGCAATATGCCTACATGCAGCAACTACAATTGCAAATGTCTCTGCACTTGGGACATTTCCAATCAACCAACGATGCAACTTCTTCTGCCTTCTCTCCATATCTATCCAATATCAACCCAACAAAAGAAAACTTATAAGTTAACCGCTTTACTCAATTAAATGGATTATACAAGAAGTGAGATGTTAGAATAAAATAACAACCTGTTTAATAGGCATTTATGACAATACTTCATTGTGCATCGCTTGTCCCTTTTCAAGTTCTTGCATGGAGCCAAGAAACCAATTGTTTTTTGTCGGCACTTCAGCATTTTATCCCAATGCAAAAGAAATATCAGGGAAAGAGAAATTTAAAGCAAAAAACCAGAGAATTATCACAAAAAAAAACTAAAATATTGTTAAAAAAAAGTTCCATATCCACTGTAATCTAATATTTTTCATATAATATTCAAAGTAATTCCATTAAGCCAAATCTATTTTGCTCTAACACTTCATTTTCCATGATGTATCAACATCGACACATATCTAATAAATATGAGCATATGAAGGTTTAACCCTCCAAAAGTAAGAAACCCTTAGAAAAGATTGAGTATACCCATTACATAGACATATCCGTAACCAATACTCAACCATGAGTTAGAGTAACATAAAGACAACTAATTGGACAAGTCTCAATATTCCAAACAGCATATAGCAAGGAAATAAGAAACATGGGTGTTTCTGCATCAACTAAGCAGAACAAAAATATTGAAAAAAAAAACCTCAAAAGCTAAAATAAAAAGAAAAAAACCCAAAAAAGTAAAATTCAAAGCCTACCATGATTATTACCAAACATAATTTGTGAACCAACCCCCATTCATATGAAACAACTATTTCACGTCAACCAAACAGAACAAAGAAAGTAAAAAAAAAAGCCCAAACTAAAGGTAAAACCCACCAAAAATAAAGGGTAAAAACAATTCCAAAAAAATCAGTGAAAAATAAATTTAAAGAGAAAAAGAGATACCTGGTGACAAGTTTTTCCAGTTTCAGAATCATTAGTTTTTCGTCCCACAACACTAATTCCATTTCCTTTTGTTTGCTTCTCCTCTTCCATTTTAGAAGCTGAAGTTGAAGCAACAGCCATTTCTCAGATTTTCAACGAAATGAATTCTTTGGTTTTTAAAAAATCTTTTATTGCAAGATTTTCGAATTTGGTTTTGGTTTTGAGTTTCCCTCTTTCCCTGTAGTGGCGGGAGAGATTTGAGAAAACAAAGTGGGAAATTTTTGTGGGAAACAGAAAAGAAAATTCCCGGAAATTGAAAACTTTTTTGGACAGTTGGGCGCCAAATTGTCTGACTTATTTAATCAATCGTGCCCTAATAAGAAAAGATATCCAATAGGCCAACTTACATATGGGCTTGCTTTCCAACCCCTTTCATATTGACACAACAACTTCCATTTGGGAACCTAATTTAGTTACTCGAGAACATTGAAATCATAATATGTTTGATAAAATATTTATTATTTTTAATTATTCAAACAAATTATTATATTGTATATTTTTAATATTCCATTTATCCTAGAAACTTAAATGTTTTCTTAATTTTAATGATAAGATCATATCTTTATAATTATTTGAAATTAATTCACTTTATGAAAACAATCTCAGGATCCCACAAGCACGTTTAAAAATATTCTATCAAATCTTATATAAATATATAAAAATCAAAACATTTAAAAAAATAATTTGATATGGATAATTTATATTTTTGACATGTGGATAATCTAATAAATAGACATGTGTTATTTAATAAATATATTTTAATAATTCAAAAATTAAATAAATTTATTTTTATTTATCTTAAATCATTATCAATTAAATTTATAAATAAAGTAATAAAAATTTAATTGCCATCATTAATATATAAAATAATTTTGTTAAGACTGTTTTCAATTATAAAATTCAACTTTGAGTTACATTTGTGTAAAAAATATTCAATTCTACTTTTTGAAAATGAATATGTTTTCATTATTAAACCACCGTTTTTTACATTGACATTTCAACTAATGAATATAATTTTGGAATTTAATAAAGTAATCTATCAACCTAAATAAATATACAAATCACTTAATATCAAGAATTCAAATAATAATAAAAGTTTAATTATTTTTAAATATATTTTTCGTTATATATTATATAGATTTTTTTTTTTGGAAATCATACTACAAGTGATAAATTACCATCTAAAATATCTTAGTTTGAAGGCATAATTTACTCTAATAAAAATTTTTTAAAATATAAAATGTAAACTTTGGAAAATAAAAATTAAAAATATGCTAATAATTAAATAAACTATTATAATTGATTTGTTTAAATTACTCCAAATTCTATAATAGTTTCCTTATTATAAAATAAAGAATCTTTTTATACTAAAATTATTCAAGGTTCACCAAATGAACCAAACCCTTAAAATGCATTTATTTAGTTGTGATTAGGTAGATCTCTATTAAAAAAGTTTTAATGAATCTTTTATACAGCAACCAATGATTTTTATTTTTAGTTTGATTAAGTTTTTTTAATCATGTTAACAATAAAAATGTATTGCTTTAACTTTAGGTGCTGTTTCTCTTTTTTTTTTTTTTTACCTTTTTTAACTAATAAATATTTTTACTTTATTGTATTTGGTATTACTTCTTTTTTGTTTATTTTTATGCATATTCAATTATAAACTCCATTTATAATTTGTTCATTGTTAATTATCTTAAGTCATTTACTTTTCTATTAGCTTGAATTTTATGCTAGCATGAATCTCTCTTTGATTTTAAAATATTGTATCTAAAATTTTTATAATACAATAATATAAAAATCTCACATTCCATGAAACAAGGAAGAAAACATAGGTTTTTTTTTTACTTTCACTTTACGATTTTATCTTTTATTTGTAGTTTTTTGAACATTATATTTATTTACATTTAATATATGCGGTTTTATTTTATAATATATATTTTGTTTAATTTGCTTTGCATGAATCAACAGCATAATTTGTTTTTGGTACAACAGTAAACTTTTTAAATTAAGATGTTAATTGCTTTCACTTATACTATGAATGGATGCCTTTTGTCAACAATTTTGTCATAACCAACTATTTGGTCATGGTTAATTTAATTGCTATTGAATAAAATAATTAAAAAAGAAATATGTGGTGTGTTTAATGTATATTGTCTAATATATACATCATTGTTTGATGACTTAAAAATTTTAAAAATAATAACTTGGACAATTTTGCTATTTAATATCCAACATGATACATAATAAATAATTAAATAAATTTTATTATTAATGAAAATTGTTAAAAGACAGAAGTAGCTTTTTATTTTAAATTTATGATACATAACAATATAAGTTATACAAGTTTTAAGGTAAGTGATATATTTATTTTCATCAAATAATTCAAAAATATTGATTCAATATAATTTTACTTTCAACATTTTATCATACACTTTCTTTTTTTTTTACAATATTTTTATTCTAATTTTTATATTTTAATTCATATAATGGCACATACTAAAAATATATTACCAAACATGTGTCAAAACAATTATTTTTTCTTATCTGGTTAAATTCTATTAAATTTGTTAAATTTTAATGTTATAATTTTTTCAAAAAAATATTAATTAAAAATTGTATCTGAAAAATATTTTGGAAAATTTTTTTAATTTAAATATAAAAACAATGATACCTTAAAATAAATAATTGATTTTCATTTCCAATAATTTTTTTTTTATAACCATATGTTGACTTAAAGCATTTCAATTATTTTCTTAATTAGGTCAATCAAATACTAATTTTGATTGAAAGTTCACCAAATAAAATATGGTATTTGTTTTAATACATAACAATTATTTCACTTTAATTTCTTTTGAAAACTTATGTGTTGTATTTTTAGAGATAAAAAGTAAGATAATTAAATTGTATCTATTCAATAATAAATATATGATAAAAATGAGATAAGCATAAATATTAAATTATTTAGATATTAATAGGTTGAGTTCTTCTAAGTGTACAATTATATATATATATATATATAAGATCAAGTTACATCAAAAAAATTTTATACTTTGTATATCTCTTTTTTTATCATTGATTTACACCTTTTTATATTTTTTTATCATTAATTTCAATAGATTTAAAAGATGAGAGAAATAAGTAAAAAAAAAAAAAATTTAATCTCATCTTTTTGTTCTATTAAAATTAATGCTTAAAAAAATATAAAATTAAAAAATTTTATATTAGTATAAACTGATTCCTCTTCATATATATATATATATATATAATATACCACTCATATTATAAAATGAGATTTCTAACATTATATATTATTATAAGATATAATTTTTTATCAAAATTATTATATAGTATCTTTTAAAATAAAAATTTTGTTTTTAATAAATAGTTTTTTAGTTTTTAAATAATAATATATATAAAATATATAATTGATTTATTTATCAGTGCATAACACGAACTTAAAACAAATTTATATAAATTCGAGTATTAGGAGAGCCTTCGTCCCCTAATTTCATGCTAAATCTTCCTCCGCATCGGTTTTTAATTATTTTTTACTAACCGAAACTTCCTCATCCGTTCAACAAGCATCTTGATGGCTGACTGAACCGCTGTTCTAATTATTTTTTTATAAAAAGGTCGTGTCAGACAATAAATTTGTCAACGAAGTTTTAGTGGCCCACATGTCTCATGCTGCCGCTTGTCATTTATGGGTTAGTTTATTAATGTCATATCACTTTTCTCTTGTCAAATCATACTCATTGCCATGTGTACCCTTCTAATTGGCTTGTGATTTTTTGGTGAAAACAGTTATTTATTTTTTTATTATTAATTGATTCATTCGTCGAACAAACTACAAGATTTTTTTTTTATTTTAATTAAAAACATGAATAAGTAAAAAAAAATAATAAAAAGTTTTAAACGCCTTTCAACATGAAAAGCAAACCTAGGAAATGAACTTGGGGTTTGAACTAATGAATTAGGCAAAAAAAAATCATTTGGAAATTTTAAAAAGTTGATCACAATTTTTTTTTAAATTTCATCGAATAACTATTTTTTAATACTTTTTTCATTTAACATATTGAATAATTTTGTAAACTTAAATTGGCAACATAACAAGAAAAATTAATGAATTAAAAAGTAAAAAACAAAAATAAAAATTATACATCAAACAAAAGTTGAAAAAAAAAAAGGGAAAATCCTTTTTCCCAATTAGATTTAGAATTTTTTTTTCTTAAAGACTTTTCATTATAACTTAATGATAAGAAGATAGCCCTAAAATCTTAAGGTTATAACTTCAAAGTGAATTTAGTTCAACTTTATATTAAATTTATATAGTTATATTTTAGTTTGTTGGATAATTTTTTTTATTATTATTCAATGATTATGAATGTAATATTTGGAAAGCCACTTTTTATCCAATGTTAGAATAAAATCCTTTTAATTTCAAAAGCCTTTTCATTATGGGTTTAGATTAAAACACAAAACTTAAATCAAAGGTAGAGTTTGGGTGGGATTCTTAGAACAAATTTTGATGAAAATAAATTAGTGAAGTTCTTGTTTAATTAGGAGTTTCATTTGATTTAGGACTAAGTATCTATATAAAGAATCACCAACAAGCCAAAAAAGGAATCAATCACCACCTCTAAGTTTTCTCCATCTATAAATAGCTAAGCACTCCAGTTGAGAAGGGATGGACTTGGGGTGCATAAATCAGTCCTTAGTCCAAGGTTTTCTTTAATTGTTCTTTAAGTGTTCTTTAGGGTTTTCTTTATTTCTTTACAGTTCTCTTTAAACAGTTTACATTTTAATTTTCTGCATCATCCAGTTTCCACATTACTCCTGTTTTTCAACTTTCAGTTTCTGTGTTCTATCTTACTCTTTACATTCACAGTTTTAAGTCTTTAGTTTAATTTACTACATTCATTACAGTTTTAGTTACTACATGTGCAGGAGCAATCAAGGTTTTATTTATTTAAATAGTTTTGCATTTTAGATAATTTATATTTGCCTTGTTTAGGCTTTAATTTATTGTTTTCTGCGCTTTAATATTTTACTACACTCAATTTTTAGCTACTACATTAACTTAATTACATATTTCTGCATCTAGATTAATATTCTGCATAGTTAGAAAATTTCTACATAATTTTCTGCTTTAGTTTTTAAATTCTGCACTTAATTTAGCTTACTGTTTTAGTAAACTGTTTTAGGTTTTAGTTAATGCATTAGGGTTATAAAAACTATTTTGTTTTCTGCACTTTAATTTAGACAGTTTTTTTTTTTTTTTTTTTTTGCATTAAATTTAGGGACTGTTTAATGTTTACCGCATCATATTTATTTTCGTGCACTAGTTTCATACCTTGTTTTTAATTTACTGCATAGTTTAGGTTTACAATTTTACTGCCAAAATTAGTGTATTTTTTTTCCATTTAATTAATTTGCTACATTAGATTTTTTGGACTGTTTTAGTTTACTACTTTAATTTATTGGACTATTTGAGCATTTAAATAATTTACTGCTTTTGTGTGAAGTTGTTATTTTAATTTATTGCATTATAATTTCTGCTTTTGCATTGTAAATTCAATGGGTTTAAAAAATAGTTTTTTTTTTTTAAATAGTTTTTTTTTTTAAATTTAATTCTACAGAAATTATTAGAGAATTTAAATCTTATCAAACTATTAAAAAATTTAATTATTTTTTAAAGAAAATTAAAAAAATAAAAATTTTGAAATTAATCAATCAAACTATCAGAGTATTTAAATCTTGAAACTTTTTCTTGCCTGGAAGGTTTAATGATCTTTTAAAATAAAATTTTGAATTTAATCTTACCAAATTATTAGAAGATATATTTTAGAAATAAAATCATACAAAATTATTAGAAAATTTTATTAATTTTTAAGAAATAATTTTTTTGAAAATCTTGATGAATCTAATGACGAACCTCTTCAAAAGGGTGACAATAGTCACCTTAAATACTCATAAATGAGAAAATATTATTAAATTATTATCAAAAATAATTTTCAATATTAAATTGTTTAGGAAGATTTTAAAAGATTTTTAAGACTTTGATTAATATGAAAGCTAGATGGTACTATACTTTGAATAAGTGTTGTGGGTTACTATAATTTTTTTTTACATGTAATCATACTCTCGAATTTAGTTTTACTTCATGGATAAGACCTATTCTTTTTAAAGAACCTAAGTCAAACTTAGAACATATTTAAAAAAGATAGATTCATTAGGTCAACAATCTAACAACTCCTAGTTAGTGTCTAATGATCTAGTTAGTGTCTAATGATCGAAATTTGGATTTATACATTGTGATAGATTGGTAACTTTCGTTGGGGACTTCGAGAGTCGAGCTAATAATTATTTTTATGTTATTCAAGCCTTAACAAATTTAATAGTTAATTTATTTTATTTATTGTTTTTAAAATTTGATAGCATTTTAATGTTCTTCCATGCACACACTACTTGCACATGCATGCATTAGCTTTTTATTTTTAGGCTTCGTCCTCTAAAAATAAATAAAATATCTATGCTTCGTGAGATTTCATGCAACCATATGAGTTAGCAAAATACTTTTATTCGTTGGGCTTGCTAGAGATGTAGGTTGGTCTATAGGATGGCTTGCATGGGCTTTTATTCAAGTTGGGACAATTGCCTTTCCTTTGTGCTAAATATTTGTATCAAGTTAGGAGCTAAAGCGTAAAACCTTAAACTTACAAAGAAGAGAAAGATAGTGATTAAGGGTAAAGGCAGGGAATTTTTTTTACATTTGCATTTCGATGCTCAAATCAGAAGCCAGTTGTGGGAGGCTGGAAGTAGAGTAAAAGGTAGAGAATGTAGAGAAGAGCAAGATGAATAAATAGTACCTGGATGGCCTTATTTATAAATGAAAAGTGAGATGTTTGTGGGGTAAATTGGTGACGTGATTGAGTTGATATAATACTGTACATGTCATGTCAACCTAAAAATACAAAATGCTCTTGATTGTCTACTAACAATATGTAATGAAAAAAAAAAAATCATTTTGTCCTTTGGATTCAAAGATATCCCTAACAAAATCAAACACCAATGATCCATAAGATGTCAGTTCTCTTTTTGTACTCTTTGATACATTACTATTGATTCAAGCCAATAATTTGTATGTAAAAAGATGTTGGATTTTTGAAAGATTATCCGATTGATGCTCCATTTTCAGCTGGTGATGGTTTTTCTCTTAATGGAGATACATTCATCATTCATTACAATTTCTCTCTTAAAATGTAATGCATTATTCGACAATTTACTAATTGAATTCAAATATATGTTTGTTTTGGACAAAAACAAATTCAGATGAGCCAAACCAAAATGATATGAATGGTTTAAGCAAGGAAAATTTGTGATCAATAATGCAAACTTTCAAATTTCATGGGTTTTAACTCTCAGACTATCCTTTTAAAATTCTTTATTTTTTTACTTTAATTTGATTCGATAGGTTAAAGCTCATCTAGTTGGTGGGATTGGTGACAAGGCTAAATATCTAATTTTTGGACCAACCATGGGAGCAGGCTCTCGAGCCTCAGTTAATGTTTTCAAGTAACATAAATGTCCTTTTTATTAGTGTTATCTTTAAGAAATTATTATTTTTTCTAAATGTTGTTTTGTGATTATTTTTGACAAGTTTAATATTGGTTTATTTTCAGCACAACAACACCAACCACAACCATCCTAGTCAAATACCAAAACAAACACTTCTCCCAAACCACTGAGCAGACTGCAACAGCTCTTTCCAGAAGAATCTTTTTCATACACACACACACACACACACTCTCTCTCTCTCTCTCTCTCTCTCTCTCCCTCTCTCACTTTGTTATTTATCTTAAATTTACACTCTTATTGATGCATGATTTGTATGTTATACTTCTAAAAAATTATATTTCCCTTAAAAAAACAAGTTCTCTTCAATCTGAAAGAACTAACAGCATCTATGATGCCTCTAATTTTTCCTTGTGAATTAACATGAATAGTTATTAATTTAAAAATTTGTTTTAATAGTGACTAAGATAGAGCTAACAGTATGTAGTTAGAGACTTAGAGTTCTCACTCTTCTTATGTACAAAGAGTAGTAACTTATCTCTTTAACCTCCTGTAAATTACTTTTTTAAAACTAGAACTTCAAAATGAAAATAACTGTGCTACTGTCTTTTTAAAAATTATACCAAATTTAATTAAAATATCTGACACAACACGAAGGTGACTCCAATTCAAACAATCAAAGACAAATTGAACAAAGTTAACTTTGCCAACTCTATTTTCGGAAAATTGCATCTTAAGATTGAAAGAATAGATTTGCCCTGAATTTTTCTAGGAGTGCTTATCTTATTTCCCTAATAGTAATAGCTAGGAAGTACTACCGAAGAGAAACAGTTGCAATTTGTAGTCTTTAAGCAGAGAAAAGGAAAAAGAAAGAAAAAGAAAGGCTGAAACAACGTAGCAAAGCATAGGGCATAGAGTGAGGCAAATGGATAGACACGAGATATAGGCCAACCAAAGACAAACAAAGCCCCATCCAACAGATCCGAGAAATGCGACGACTGCTCTTTTTGTGCTCACCTCAATACCTCTTCTTTTTCACTCTAAACCTCCCCAAAGCTGGGCGTCTTTTACACTTCCCTTCAAATAATTTTTTCCTCCTTTTTCCATTCTTCTATCTCCTTGCGTTAGTATTTTACTATTTTACCATTTTCGTAAAAGTATCTAGTCCTAAAGTGAAAAGTGGGTTTTCATTATTAAAAAAATATTTTAGCACTTAAAATCTCAAATTTGCTACTAATAAAAAAGCAAATTAAGAGTGAATGTAGAGGTAGAGTACAAATAGAAAAACTATTTTCTATCTTCGTTGTGGGTTGTTCTGCAAAACGAAGATGGAGTGGTTCTTGTTATTTTTGCAGGACCGGTAGAGAATAAAAAATTCAATGTAGCCGAATTACTCGTCATCAAGACAGCTTTAGAGATGTTCACCAGGAAGGGCTGAATGGATAAAGTGGGCTTGCTAATGGAATCCGATTCTACGGTAATGATGGGGGATCTAAGTGTGATTAGGATTATCAATGTATCACAAAAATCCAATGGCATGGCTGTTGCCTTGGCAAAGCAGGAGATATATCGTTCAGAATTTTCTAATCTGACTTTAAAAGGCCTTGAGGTGGCTTGTGTAGCTGACTCTGGATATTGTATCTTGGGCATCGTTATATAATATATCTTGACTTAGAAAAAAAAAAAGAAGAAAAAACTAGGCACCAACACTACTTTTTTTCTCTTCTGTTTATGATGAATGAACAATGATGTCACAACCGCAGAAATTAACATGAACAAGAGCTACTGAAGAAAGCTAAGTACGCTTCAAACTCAATAACCCTTTTGGTCAAGGCCACATTTACTTGAAGAATTCTAGCATGCCGTTGCACAGTTGAGAAACACAACTGAAAATGATCTCATTCCCCTTTTCTTTTTCTTTTTCTTTTTTTGTAAACTTCTAATTCAATAACTTTTTATCATTTTACATTTATTTTTTTACTTGGCACATTTTTATCTATCTGTACCACACCGAACCACAGAAGGGGGGTCGCAACCTATCCCTGCCCAGTCTTGTCAACCAATCTGACTGCTCTCTGCTGCCCGCCTTTTCTCTCTCCCATTTCCCCACACCATTTCTCTGCCATTCTTTATATTCGTACTCAATAACATCTCCAATGTACGTACATCCTACAGTTACACAAACTTAATCATCCTATTAAAAGCGTGATACACGCGCCATGCAGAGCGTAAAGTTGTACCCCTAGTTGCCTACAAAGGATCTTCCCTCTTTTGTCCCTTGCCTCGCACAAAACCCTCACCCTTGTCTCTCTTTCGACTTCATTGACTAACCCGTCTTCAAAAATCTTCCAAAAACTTCAATTCTAAAAACTTCTTTTCTTCCTTTTCTTTCTGAAGGGCATGATGATCTTCAAATGAAAGAGCGGCAACGTTGGCAACCAGGAGAAGACGCACTCCTCAAAGCCTATGTCAAACAATATGGCCCAAAAGAATGGAACCTTATTTCACAACGCATGGGAAAACCTCTTAACCGTGATCCAAAATCCTGCCTGGAACGTTGGAAAAACTATCTCAAACCAGGCATCAAAAAAGGGTCCTTAACTCTGGAAGAGCAATCCCTAGTCATCTCCCTCCAAGCGAAGTACGGCAACAAGTGGAAGAAAATAGCCGGCGAAGTACCTGGCCGTACACCGAAAAGACTTGGCAAGTGGTGGGAGGTTTTCAAAGAAAAGCAGCTCAAACAATTGCAGAAGAATCAAGGCAGGATAGAATTTTCCCCCGAAGGTACTAGTAGTACTATTACTCCGCCTGCATCTTCATCTCCAGGTCAATACGATCACATTCTCGAAACCTTTGCCGAAAAATACGTTCAACCAAATAACAATTTTTTTGCTAATTATTCCACCATAAATTTATCTCCCATTATGCCTCCCACCATTTCCTTACCTGACCCTGACCCAGTTCTCTCACTCGGTTCGGGAAGTTCAGGGACTGCCAGGACGTCGTCTTCTGTTGTTTTGCCACTCTGGATGAATCACAATCACCCTTCTTCGTTGTCATCTTCAACTTCATCCACCACTCCATCCCCGTCTGTGAGCTTGTCGCTATCGCCAGGAGAGGCGGGTCTTGACCCGGACTTGATCCGGTTCATGCCGGGCCAAGTTAGTACCATGGTGCAATACTGTAAGGAGTTGGAGGAAGGGAGGCAAAGCTGGATGCAACATAAGAAGGAAGCAACGTGGAGACTGAGCAGGTTGGAGCAGCAGCTTGAGTCAGAGAAGGCAAGGAAAAGGAGAGAAAAGATGGAGGAGATAGAGTCAAAGATAAGGTCCTTGAGAGAAGAGGAGATGGCGTTTCTTGGGAGGATTGAGAGTGAGTGTAAAGAGCAGTGGAATGTTTTACAAAGAGATGCTGAAACCAAAGAAACTAAGCTAATGGAAGCCTGGTGTAGTAAGCATGTTAAGTTGGCTAAGCTTATGGAGCAGATTGGTTGCAGTGCTCAATCTCCACCTTGACTTCACCTAAAAAATGTTTTACATCAAAATATTTTGTTTATCATCATATGCTTTGAAAATTTGTCTTTAGCTTTGGTTTTGGTGTTGATGTTTATGTTCTTCTGTCATTTATGCTTCTTGAATCTTTGAATAATGTTGGTATACATTTTATGATTTTGATCAAGTTTAAGTTCTATGAAATTCACAATTCAGCAAGTTTCGGCTAATTTTTTATTTTATTTGAGGAATTAATAGGTTTTTTTTTTATCTGGCGAACAATTAATGGCCGTTGATTATGGTGATGAATTTATTATAAGTAAATCTAGAAAAACAATATTCCTTTGTCCTAAAATTATTGTTTTTTATTATTTTTTAATTAAATTACCTCAATTTTGATAATTATTTTTAATAAAATAATAAAATAATAAAATTTTGTAAAATTAAAATTTATAAACTTTGAGTTTTAAATTTTTTTGAATATATATTTTAAAAATTTTAATTAAATATTATATTTCAAAAATAAAATCAAAATAAAATTACTTTTGAGCAAAAAATTAATAAAAGACAATTATTTTGAAACAGATAAAGTATATTTTTTAATTAAATAATTAAAAAAGTGAGTATTTGAATTAGGAACTTCTAAAGTAAAAGTATCGATGATTCAGTGTGTTTGGGTTTGTGAATGATTCTACGTTACCCTTCTGTTCCCTGAAACATAGTGACAGAGTGGAAGAGATTCTGACAAGAACAACTGAAGCCTGAACGTGCATCTTTAATCTCCTTTCCAGCTTTACCCTAAGATCAAAGAAAAAAAATCAAACGCAATTATAAAGTATCCAAATGATAAGTAGAGAAAACCCAACGTCAATTAAAAAGAATATGCAAAATATCTTTCAAAGTGCAACTTAGATCACTGAAAACCAACATGACTTAGTAGTCTAAATTATTCAAACATGAGTTAAGAAAACTAAAAAATGATTAAAAATAAAGAACATGCAAATCAACTTTCAAGGTTCAACTAAGATCTATGAAATCGTTAATATGAGTAATCCAAAAGAGAAACATTAATGTATGACATTGTTTGAATTGTAATGAAAACCGTACAAGAAGAACGTGGCTTATAGGAATAAAAACCTTGAATAAAAATATACATGCGAGATCATATGAATAAAATTAGTACCTTTGCAACAGATTGGATTTCCCCTTGCAATCATATTTAGTGCCAGGGCATGACTTGAAGCGCACAAAAGTAGTCATTTCAGCATTAAATGAATCATTTAATCACAGTTTTATGTAAATTTTTAAAGTGCAGAAGGGGAAACAAAAATAATGGAAATGTGGCATCATCCACTGTTTCCATTCAAATCATATCAAAATCAATCAAGAAAAATTCATTGCAAAATATTAGGATAGCAAACTACAGCTACTGAAGTGAACTACCCAAATATTAAATAAGTAGTAGTAATTAGCACATCATTCGGTTCATTACATAAGAAATTTGCTGTGGAATCAATTATAATCTCTCAAAACATTATGGGGTCTGGAGGAAGATGAAAAGCAAGTAACTTTACTATTTTATCATATTTTTCCATAAAAAGGGAGCTCTTAACACTATAAGGAGATGGGCATTTAGAGATAATTTTTTAGCAACATTTTCAAACAAACATCACTAATTACAATATTTTTATAAATTTAATGATGTTTACAATTGAAAATTCACTAAATTTTAAAATATAATAGCGATTATATAATGAAATGTTGTTAAATTATTATAAAAATTTATTATTTTTAAAAAATATATATTTTATTTATTAATGGTGTTTGAAGTTGTAAATGCTATTAATATTTAAATTTTAGTGGTATTTATATATAAAATACCGAAAAATAACTATAAAAATTTATTAAAATTTAAAAATAAAAATTATTAGGACGGTTTTTGAATAAATGCCTCCATTTTACAAAAATTACTAACAAAAGCCTCTAATTAATCCCCAAAATTTTGAAATTGTCCCAGCCCCTTCCATGTCGACCATAAAACTAGACATCGCCCAAAGAACGTCCTTCGTCTCCCAGGAAAACATGGTCCAACTTCAAAAAGTGTTCAACCAATTCGATGCGAACAACGATGGCGAGATCTCAGTAACGGAACTCGGCGACGTCTTGAAAACATTGGGGTCTAGCTACACAGAGGAGGAACTCAAACGTGTCATGGAAGACATTGACACCGACAAAGACGGTTTCATCAACCTCTCTGAATTCTGTTCCCTCTGCCGTTCATCTTTCGATGCTGTCGCTGCCACCTTATCGCCTCGATGCTGTTTTCTAGCAAACGACGAGAATCATCAGGCATTCGCAAACAGTGTTGGTAGCTGAACAGCCCAAAAGGGTTAGTGTCAGTTTCGCAAGTTTGGACTAAGTGTTTGCTTTCGGCTCTTAGCATTCACTCACTCCCTGTCCTTGTCTCGAGTTGAGTTTATTTGCTCTGTAAGCAAATCCAATACTTTTTTAGTTGGAAATGAACCCCTAAATTTGATCTTTCGGTGATTTCACCCCTTAATTTGAAGGAGAGTGATTTCAGTTAGTGCCAAGTTTTTTTATTTTTGAAAGTGGCTAAACCTTGTTCCACACCATGTTTAAGTCGGTCATTAGATTTTGAAGCAAATGTTTTTGAAGATAATCAGTTACGTAACTGAGATTCATTTGGGCAATTTAGTTACAAAAGAAGCATTTTTTTTTTCTAAAAGGAAGAGAATCAGTTATGATTTTCTCCTTAGATTTGCAGGACTTCCTGCTTCATGCTTGAGTACTGAAGCTGTAGAGACAAGCTCTACGGATTGCTCAAAAAGCTCCTGACCATTCTAGAGGTAAAGCTTCTTGTCTGACTAATAGAATTTGTACATGATGTTAGGAAAAGTTTTAAGAAATTAACAAACACCTATTCTTCGAGGTTAAATCTTAAATGCATCTTCATTGCTTTGTTGTTTCTTTTGCCATTTTGTTTTGAGTTCCCTCTGGATTTGTTTCATCTTGTTTGAAATGTTCCATATATGTCTTAAACATTAATTGTACTTGTATTGCCAAAAAAGAAATGGGTTTTGCGGCTGAATTGAAATAGGTGATTAGGCAAGAAATGGAGAGTAATCGAGATTGCAAGGATAAACAAAGGACCAGCTACTTGATTAGTAGTGAAGGAACCGAGGGATTGAAAGGTCTAACTAAGATTCTGTGTATGCAGGGACATTGCTAATGGAATGAAGCTGCATTTGCTATTTCGCTTATTGAAAAAATTTGAAATCCTCAATTTATGGACTATCTTGTGCAGCTGCAGGATTGCAAGTTCTTCAAGAAAAACATCTTATTCACCGGGATTTAAAGCCACAGGTAGTGGTGCTTGATTATCATAGTTTAATCGTATAAATGTTGATTTTCTAATTAGATTGTGTTATTTGCTGTGAAGTTAGATCATTGATATCTAGTGCAAACCATGTTGTTTGCTTTGAGAATTTATATAGTTAAAAAAGAATCAAACATTTTAGTTTTATAGGGCTTTGTAGTGTACTTGCTCTTGTTGCATCTAGTCTCTATTTAGAAATTAACTAGCATCTAATAACTATAGTTGTTATGTGACGAAGACTAGATTTTTGGTTTATCAATTTATTTCTTATAAATTTGTTGTAACTTTGCAGAACTTACTACTGTCAACCAAAGGAGCAACTCTGCAATTGAAGATAGGAGATTTTGGTTTTGCAAGGTAACCACTTTAATTAGCTTTTAACAAATTGGCACAAGACTTAGCTTGTTGACATTGCTTGACTTTAGATTCGTTTTATTAGTATTTTTGTAAAATATTCTTTTGTATCCATTTATGAGAAACAAAGTTGAAAAACAGAGACAAAAAATAAAGCAATTTCGGGGTCTCTTTGGTTTAGCAGAACATGTTTCTCGAACCCTCAACTAGGTTCAAATAGCTGGAAAATCCCATTTCAAAATCGCCTCAGATATATCCCTTCATTGTTTATGATCTTGTTGGATTCAATTTCTTGTCTCAGATATCATAATCTAGCATTGTTTCACTTAATAGGAAAGTAAGGTTTATTTAGTTGATGTCAACGCCATCTTGCTGATTAAATGGATATATTTGGTATTTTTCTGGTCAAGCTGATAGTGCTATCTTCAATTTTTTTTTGTCACTTTAGGACTCATCTATTGTATTAGTAGTAGTTTTAATACACTAGGTGGTCACCATTGTACATGGCTTCAAATATTATTCAGAATCAAAATTATGATGCAAAAGTGAAAAAACTACATGGCGTTTAGTCCCTGCAGCTCTCCTTTCCCTTGTTTTTTCTTTCGCTATCTTTTACATAAATGTAATGATCTATGTAGGCAGATTTGTATTAATGTTCTTAAATGTTATAGTATTGAACTTTGTAATTACGTACATATTGCAAAAAATTATGTATTTAATATTTAAATATTTAATTTATAAATTTTAATTCATTTTTATTTATTTCAATACTTTTTTTATTTAATTATATTAATAAGTATTGAAAAATATTAAAAAAAGTAAATTTATTAATTCATTGACGTTTATAATGGAAAACGTTACTAAATAATCAAATTTAGTGATGTTTGTGTCTGAAAATGCCGGCAAATTTAATGGCATTTTCAAACACAAATGTTGCTTAATTTGATCATTTAGCGACGTTTTTCATTATAAACGTCACTAAATTTAACGGTGTTTTTTCATAAAATGTCGTTATATTTCCTGATGCAAGTGTAGTCGACGCTTTTAATGTTAACGGCTTTTATAAATATTGTAGACACCCACTTTTGGAATCAAGTTTTTCAATGAACTTCATATAGGGTTAATAAAATACAAAAAATAAAAAAAAGTAAAAATAGAGTTTTAATCCTAATGAAAATTTAAGATCGAGGGTTTAAATTTTGAAATCGGGATCATAAAAGGATTTTTTTTTTGTTAAAACGAGGATAAACAGATATGGGGAGTTTGATTTTTGAATCTTGTACACAACTTTTATATAAACTTCAGTGATCACAGAAAGATGTAGAGAAGAAGAGAAAATAAGAGAGTAATTAGAATAAAAAAAAATTTTTGAAGAAGCTTTAGTTTTTAGTAAGAGTTTTCTGGGAAATCATTGTTTTGATTGGTGAAATAGTTTTTTTTTTTGGAGATTTTTTTGCATTTTTTGAAAATTTTTTGGAAATTTTAGAATTTGATGAAATTTTCAGCGAAAACTTGAATTTTTCGACAACTTTTCAGCAAGAATTCCCAGTTTTTGGTGACTCATTTTCAGAATCTGGGAATAAACCTAAAAATCGATGAGTTTTTCGATGGTATTTGATGGAAAATAGTGATTGAAAATTGCCTAGAGTGAGAAACATAAGAGGAGAGCGAGAGTGAGAAAACATATAAGGAAAAGAAGGAAACTCGAACCTTTTATACCAATGTGAAACAACTTCGTTTTGAGATGCTAAAAATGGACATGATTTGTGTGTCGCCCAGGATTCGACCCTACCCGCAGCGGGTTGGGTCGACAACTCGTTTCATTCCTCTCTATTGAGCAGTCAAGTCGAGCCACACATCAAGGTATTTCAGCTGCGTTTGTCTCTGGAGTCGCGTCCCATTCGAGCCTAGTCGAGCTGTACCAATGTTTTTTTATTTATCTATTTATTTTTTTTATTATTATATTTTTTGTTTATTTTTTTACTGATTAAATTGAAATAATTTATTTATTTAATTAAACATTATTTAGGTTTCGAATGATTTTCTTAAAATAAAAATTTAAAAAAATATATATACTTTAAGAAAAAGTTGAAAGTATCAACTTACCTTAAAGATCAAATTAAAAAAAAAAGATTTTAAGAAAAAGCTGAAAGTATTAATTTTTCTTGAAGATTAAATTATGAAAATATATTTTAAGAAAAAGTTGAAAGTATCAATTTTTTTTGAAAATAAAAATTTCAAAAAATATTTTAATGAAAAGTTGAAAGTATCAATTTTTGTTGAGTATCAAATTTATAAAAAAAATCTTTTAAGGAAAAGTTGAAAGTATCAATTTTTCTTAAAAATTAAAATTTTCAAAAAAAATACTTGAAGGAAAAGTTGAAAGTATCAAATTTTTTTGAAGATTAAATTTCAAAAAAATAGTTTAAGAAAAAATTAAAATTATCAATTTTTCTTGAAGATCAAATTTAAAAATATACTTTAAGGAAAAGTTGAAAGTATCAATTTTTCATAGAACTAAAAATTTCAAAAATGCTTGAAGAAAAAGTTGAAAGTATTAATTTTTTTTAAAGATGAAATTTTCAAAAAATATTTTTCAAGGAAAGATTTGGAGTATCGATTGTCCTTAAAAATAAAAATTTCAAAAGATGTTTTTGAGAAAAAATTGAGAGTATCAATTTGAATAAAGGCAAAGTGATCTCCAGAAAAAGTTGAAGTATTGTTTTTTTTCTTTCTTGGAATTCTTTTTTAATGTTAAATAATTCGATGATGGAGCCATTGCAAGAAAAATAGTAATTTTTTTTTATACTCTTGAGGGTAAATTTTTTTTTTTAATTTTTTATCAAAAGTATTGAAGTCAATTAAAAATAATTTTCAATAATTAATTATTTAATAAGATTTTTAAGACTCAAAGGATAACACAAAATCAAGCTGATACTATCCTTTGATGGGCATTGTGAGGGTGTTATAACTTTTTTCACACGTAACCGTACTTTGAGACATGGTTCTGATTTCATATATATTGAATCTACCTTTTAAATATACTTAAATCAAACTTAAAATTTTTCTTTAAAAAAAAGACAGATTTAGTTAGGTGGCTAATAGCACCTAAATAAAAAAAAGATTGGTGGCGACTCCTTAAGACAATGTCTAGCGATAGGTTCATGAATCTAAACTTTATGATAGTTTGGTGACTCTATTGGAGATAAGCCAAGAGTCAGGCTAGCAGATAAATTTATGTTATCCAAAACCTTAATAAAATTGAATTTTTTGTAAAAGATTTTTTATTCATTCATTCTTTCAATTTATTTATTTTGCTAACTATGTCATTTATATACATATGTAAACATGAGCTTTATACCTGAGCTTCATTCTTTTATGAGGGAGTAAAGTATCTATGCTTTCGTAAGATTTTAATGCCTTCGCAGTGCCTAGCGAAATACTCTCGCTTAAATTAAGCTTTTTTTGCTTGTAACTTGTAACGGGTGAAGATTAAGGTGTTTTACTAGTTTGTGATAGACAATGATGTAAGGAGCAATTTGGGAACCTTTAGATTTCAACCTTTAAATCACATATAATAAACCTTAAAAATGCCTAACTTATAGATAGAGCCATATCCTACCATTTAGAATTGACCAAAAGCTTAGGATTCATTTTTTTATTGTGTATGATGTTTTAATTAATTAATTTATATTTTTTTATCCAATGTACTAATCTTTTCTCTTATTCATTTTGCATGATTCATACTCATATCATAAAATTGCATAAAGAATATTTGCCTGAAAAGACAATCTTTAACAAAAAGTGTTTTCATGGATTTCACAGAACGACTGGTTTGTTCTTCATCTGTATTAATTTTTTGCGAGTCACCAAACGAGATAAAGGTTTAGTTTGAAAAAATCCAACAAAAAGATGGGGATTGTCTACTAGTCAGCCATGCTTCTACCTTGTCTAAAAAAACATCCATCTACTTTAAATAAAATAATCTAAAGGATTTGGTTGATATATGAAAAAAGATGAGTCATTAAGATGAGGTGATTTTTGTCAAACATGGATATATAGCACAATTCTGGCGATGAATGTTGAGAATCAACTAATTAGAGCT